GCATTTTTCGAGTTTGGAAATTCCTCTTGTTGATGTTAACAGAGCTGCTCAATCCAAGTTATAAATTGATCCAAATTCTTCATGAATCGACTATCCATAAGTCATCCTTAGTTCACAACGAGTATTTAGTGACCATAGTCGTTGTCAGTATTGAAAGGGTTAAAGACAACGATTTGTGGATTAGGTTTAAGTTAAGTTTAGGTTAGATTTAGTTTCCAGCGAAGGGCGACTGCAAGGATCTATCTCTCTCTCTCTCTCTCTCTCTCTCTCTCTAGGTTTAGGTTAGGTTTGGGTCCGCAAATTCATGGATACGGTATCAAACTGCGACCGAAGAAGTGCTGCGAGAAAGTTCAGAGAATACCAAATACTTTGAGCAGAAGATAGTGTTTCGACAAATGTGAATTTACCAAATCACCCAGTGGGTAATCAACATCATGGCGCTAGACAAGGACTCGAAGAACATGAGCAGCGGCTTGCCCTGTTCCTCCATTTTTCCCAGTGTTATGCCCAACACCGTGGCGAAGACGACCAAGCCCATGATGTTTGTCCCCGACACGCTCTTTTGCACTGGCTCCCAATAATCTATGTTATCTGTTCCAACAAACAATATATTGACTTGTTGTAGTTCATTGTTGAATGATTTGTGATACATGACGCGTTTGTAGTCATCGTTGAATAATTTGTTAAATCTTTGGACAAATGTGTGTTAAAGTCTAGTAGTTTCAACCTGTTGTGCTGTTCTCTGGTTTCTGCATCTCGGTCCTGTGTTGAGAAATACACGCCTCTACCAGATTTGGGGGGAACATGTTCCGAAGCAAATCCATCAGCGTGTCGACAGTTGAAACATTTTGAGATCGTTCTTTCGTCTTGATCTCCGGATTGTTCCCTACGCCCGGTTGAATGGTGATTACTAAAATAATACCTGAAGAAGAAACAGTTCGTTACTATTGTTGTGAAATTGCTATTATGTTTCGTGCTGGCTGTTTTGAAAAATTTTCAAATAACATTGTTTTTAAATTGCTTTTTAAAGCATTTGTTCCAAAAAGTCATCTGTTTATGAATAACCAAATAACCAAATTATATCATCATTTCATATAGATGTTAAATCAATTCATTTCCAATTAAATGATTTATTTTGAATGCTACTTTAAAGACAAATTTTCAATTATCAAGTTATTTTCCCAATATTATTTAGCATAGCTTCAAATTTCTTTAATTGACCAAATGAGCTACGCACCATTAATTGAAATCCATTATTTACCAAATATCTGAGAACATTATTTCAAAAATTTACTAACAAATTTAGCATTCGGAATAAATTTTGCCCAGGTCTGGTTCCATCATCTGGTTCCACAACTTTTGTCATTTCTGCCACAAACGAGGTATATTCATATGCATCGTCTGTGCGTCTATTGTTGTTCAGTCGGTACGCTACTGTTACAGTATCACAACGTTATCGACACCTCAGCCGCTAACTACCGCGTTACTACTCTCGATCGATTACGTAACTTCGGAACAGAAATCTTTCGTTACTTAGCTTCTCTCACTGACCTAGTATAACAGCGCTAATAGTGGTCACCATGTAATACACTATAGCACGCATGCCAATTTTGCCGCTCAATGACAGATCGAGAGATCCAATGGCCGAGACCAAGCTGGATATAATCAGCGGTAAGATCAAGCTCTTCAACATCCTCAGGAACAGATCTCCTATGTAGTTGATGTACATGATCTCGCGAGGCGTCCATCCTTGGCTCCGCATGTTCCTCAGAATAATACCGAGGACCACGCCCCCGAAAACACCGGCGACGGTTAACATGGTTAGAGAATTGTGTCTGAGACATGATCGAATCTTCTCCTGTCTGGTCTTTGGCCTCTTGCTCGGCTCTTGGGGGTAGTACGAAGTACGTTCGACGATCTTGCGCTGCGTGTCCGACCCCGACAACGGCGATCTGAGCAGAGAGGGCCGTCCACAGTTGAGTGAATTCCAGAATTTCAGAATCTGAAGATTCTTAAATTGTGAATCTTTGATTTTAAGCAACTGTGAATTGTGAATTTCAGAATTTAAAAAATCTTAAATTCTTAAATTGTGAATTTAAAAACTTGTGAACCGTGAATTTCAGAATTTAAGAATCTTAAATTCTTAAATTCTGAACTGTGAATTTCAGAATTTAAAAATCTTAAATTCTTAAATTGTGATTTTAAAAACTTGTGATCCGTTAATTTCAGAATTCAAGAATTTTAAATTCTTAAATTGTGAATGTCAGAAATTGTGAACCGTGAATTTTAGAATTTAAAAATCCTAAATTCTTAAATTGTGAATTTAAAAACTTGTGAGACGTGAATTTCAGAATTCAAGAATCTTAAACTGTGAGTGCCAGAAATTGTGAACCGTGAATTTCAGAATTTAAAAATTTTAAATTTTTAAATTGTGAATTTAAAAACTTGTGAACCGTGAATTTCAAGAATTGTGAACCATGGATTTCAGAATTTAAGAATCTTAAATTCTTAAATTGTGAACCGTGAATTTCAGAATTTTAAATTCAGTCTGAAATAGAGGGGCACTTACAGTCGAATGAATTTCAGAATTTAACACTAAAACTACCAAAATGGCCAAAATGACCAATTTATAATTTTCTATGGAATATTTATGACAGTGTACTTTATGACAGATACTCGAGTGCTTTCTTCACAAAATATATTAATAGAAGTTTGTGCCCTTCGTTATTAACTTTTTCTTGTACTTTGCACTTCAATTTCCTCGCTACAAATATTCAATTATATTTTAGTCGTCGATAGTTCTACTGTTGTGAATTTTAAATTCTCAAATCATGAATTTAAAAAGATTATAAATCGTGGATCTAAGAATTTAAGAATCTTAATTTCAAAACAACAATTTCCGCAAGATTTAGCGGGAAAAAAAAATAATACCGTTCAATCTACATTGAGTTATGGCTTGGGGATAGAACAAGATTACGTCACGTAAGCGTTCGCAAAGGAATCGTAAATGATTCGATCGTCGTACACGTGCAGCCTTCGGCGTGTTGTATCTTGTTTCCAGTTCGCCAACGCAAATGTACAGCTCGTCATCTCTCGAGGAGAAGGAAATTTTGCGATAGTGAAGTTACGAAACTTTGAAAAAGAGATAATTTGTTGTGTCCAAAGGATTAATTGCGAGAGTTAATCCCTCAACAGTGTCAGCTGGTCACGTGGTCAGTTTAATAAATCGACGACGAAATATTAACTGACTAAATAACATATTTTTTGTTATCTGGGGAAAAAGAAGCAAGAAATTGCTGTGTTTACATTCTGGAAAGAGACAACGTTGTCTTTGAGTAATCCTCGACTCCTGTGTAATTATTTGATCATTTTTATGTAGCAGCTATGAATTTCCATAAACGAATACAGTTTTTTTTTTCTTGTTCCTTTTATTTTTTCTTTTGCATGACATATCATTATTTTCCCATTTGCATAGACGTCGGTATTAATCACACGTGGTCACGAAAAGACGAACTTTATATTTCTGTCCATTCGTCTACGAGCTATCGAGAAACTCGCATCGTATCACAAGATTTGATATAGTTTTATGTATATAAAAGTATACAATCTCATATATATAAGTATAAAACCATATATATAGGTTAGGTTTAGATTAGCGATTTACACGCGTTGACAATGGTTTAGGTTAGGTTCCGTTAGAAATAAAAAGAAAAAAAAAGAAGAGAAACAATAAACAATAAAAACGAATCTTTTTCTTGCAGTTACAAAATTTGATACAGAACACTTTGCCTTTAAACGATCGTGAGTCGCAAATTTTATTTGTTTTATTCGCTACAGTGAGTCAGATCGATTATCAACTTGTCTGATCTTCGCATTTTTGACTCGCGTCTACTTCAGTAAGCGCCATAAATATATATACTCTCCTCCGCGTACTTGAGCGAACAGAGACTCTATTTTTCATCTCAGAGCGTCATTTATGTAATGCACGCAAATAGCAATAAACTTTTTTATGGAGTGTTATTTCAGTCGCGACGGTGTGAAAGGTTGAAGGCCTTGAATGAAACGTTCATCGTTTCATTGATAAATGCGAGGCGTTACGCGTGCGCGTAACTATTTACGCAGATGAGAATTTCACATAATAAATTTCGCATAATCGTTATATTAAACATAGACGCGGTATCGATTTCGTTGGTATTGGCATTTGAACGTGTAGATACAGGGTGGGCCAAAAGTCACTTCCTACTAAAAGCAAAGAGCACAAATTTGCGAATAATAGAAAATGACTGATGGTGAAACAAACGTGTGTTCAAACAAGTATACAACGAACAAGTCTAGTTCAACCAGATATTATTATATAGGGTGAGCCAAAAGTCACTTCCTACTAAAAACAGAAAGCAAAAAAATGGGGGAATAATAGAAAATGGCTGACTGTGGAAGAAACGTGTGTTCAAACAAGTAAGTGACGAACAAGTCTAGTTCAACTAGATGTTGTTATATAGGGTGGGCCAAAAGTCACTTCCTACTAAAAACAGAAAGCAAAAAAATGGGGGAATAATAGAAAATGGCTGACTGTGGAAGAAACGTGTGTTCAAACAAGTAAGTGACGAACAAGTCTAGTTCAACTAGATGTTGTTATATAGGGCCAAAAATTACTTTCTACTAAAATAAATCTGTAACTTTTCCATTGTATATTTTTCTAATTTTTTTTTTACAGATTAAAGTACACAAAAAACAACTCTTATTATGAATAAATATACGCCGCGAGGAAGTATTAAAACAGTAATATTTTACCTCGAAAGCCAGAACAGTGTTTCTCAAACACAGATGAAATTTAGAACGACTCCTTCCTTTGGAGTTATTTGAAAGACAAAGTTTACATTAACAAGCTACAAAACTTAGCACAATTAAAAGGTAACATTCGAGTCGAAATAACATCCAGAAGCAACATTGAAGTTAATAATGGAAAACGTGTTAAAAAGAGCACAAATTTTTCAAAAGCTCTGGCGGTCAACATTTGAAAGAAATAATTCTTTAATACATAACGAAAGAGATCATGTTTTAACTTGAATTTAATTTAAAATTAATGAAGTTAGATCTTTTCTTATATTTCGATGCTTTATTACAAAAAAAAAAAGAAAAATGTGGAAAGAAATTTAATTTTTAGTCCACCCTGTACTATGGCGTGCTCTTAAAGATTAAGTTTTTTCTGAAAAATTGCGAAAATGAATTTGTTAAAGAAGCAAATGAAAGAGCAAAGCATTTAAGAGAAGCACGATGATATCTCCTAACCTTATTGTATCTCCGCATACGTTTCACTCTCTCTTGATTCACCTATGCGCGATTTGACTCTAATAGGATCAAGTAATCATTCGCATAAAATTACAGACTATTTAAATGACGATTCAACGAACTTTCTAGAAAGGAGAATAAAAAGTGACAAATTTTGCCCTTCAAAAATTTTGACTTTTGAGTTTATCTAATTCTTTCCGTAAGTTTGTTCGCCCCTTGGAATATTCAATTCATTCAAAGTTCCTTCAAAATTTCCAATTAAAAAAACGTTTTGCAAATTTGCAAATTCGAAATCATATCTGTAAAAAAATATCCATCTGTGTACTTGCGCAGTCTCCTTCGTCGTTTCTCTGTCTCTCTCTCTCTCTCTCTCTCTCTCTCT